AGAGAGAGAGAGAGAGAGAGAGAGAGAGAGAGAGAGAGAGAGAGAGAGAGAGAGAGAGAGAGAGAGAGAATACCTTGATACCCTGGTGCTCTTGAAAACCTTTCTTTTGAAAACGAGCCTCGGAGTTGTATTCTCTTTCATACCACAGTATACATTTTTCTCTACTTTGAGATATAATTAAATGTGTAAATGTGCTGATATACTCTACGCTTAGCACTTTATGCCGCTGACTGGGTACAGTGTGAGCACTTCTAATAAAACATTTGACGACAATGAGAGGGAGCCTGAGAAAAAAAAGTATGTTTGAGCTCCAGCGTGTACCACGTCCTGTCATTGTTAAATGTTATCTGCGCGGGTCTTTTCTACGATAAACTCAATTATCTTTTAATAAAAAGCAGTGAACAAAATCTGAATTTCTCTTTCCTTTGACTTATTAGTTCGCCCGTATTACCTTCCATTATGGTGTAAGATGAGTTAATGAAAGCTCTGGCCGTATTCTCTTTGCGCTTTAATTTATAGTCTCTGGGGTGTTGGTACGAATCGTTCTCAAAATACGGGGTTTCTCTTCTAAGAAAAGCGTTTAATGTTACAGGGAATACGAAAAGCAAAACTCTATTCTCTATTCTCTTTCCTGTTCATATTGTAGTTTCCAAACATTCGGTAGGAGAAGATTATATGCCTCTTCAAAATCCTTGATTCATGATCGGTGCCATAAAGACCGAATGTGCTGCCAAAGAACGCGGACGCATATTTTAAGCCTCTCTAACCTCTGAGAAGAGCATTCTCGTATTGTTGTTCTGTGATATCCTACGTGATCCCGGCGAGCTTTTCGCGCCATCAGCGCCGGGAAAGGTTAGAGCCGTCGGAGAAGAACCTTTGATATTAACAGGCTCAATAATTAGCCCAGGAACCTGATTAGACGAGTCCCGTTTGGTGCCATCTGGCCGGCTATTTGACCGTTCTGCTTCTTGCGGGAGAGATGCTGCTACCGCCGTTTCTGCTACTGCTGTCGTCACTTCCGCTGCAAGATCTGCCATTGCTGCTTTTGTTGTTTCAGCGAGATCAGAAGGGGGAAAGACGAGATAAATTGATTGAGGTGAAACCAGATCCTTTATTTTAGGGGTGTTTTTCTTTCGATATGCTTCCCAACCGGGTTCCCTTCCCTCTCCCCTCAACTCCAGTTTGTTTTGTCACAATTTGTCGTTGTCTCTCTATTCTCCTATTCTTTTCCCTTTGTTAGTTTTGTTTTAATTATAATTGTTTGTCCTTTTGTTTGCCAGTTTTCATTGCAGCCGCTGGCTGGAGGCAGACAATTCAGTAGAGTGTATGTTGAGCGTTATACCCAGCAGTGGAATGATGATACCTTGGTCATAGTTTAAATCTAAAAGGAAAAAAACCCGGATAATGGATCTTCAACGTAAATCTTCTGTCCCTCTTTGAATCTTCTTGTCAAAAACGGAGGAACAAAGCTGTAAAAGAGAAGAAAAGAAAAGAAAAGAAAAGTCAAATCAGAATTTGAAAACTCAACGACACGATATTGTAAATGTTCCGTCAGCACCATTATGGGCAGAAACCGCATCAGACACACGAACACCAATAACATGTTGAAAAAATAAAATCAGTGACCTCGCATGAGGCAGCCCCCAGTTACGACAATTACCAGCAGCTAATATGAATCAAAGCAACGAAAACAGAGGAGATTATTAAAAACTCCAACTCCAAACAGATCAAGTCCGGTGACTCCTGACTGCGGAGTAGTGCCCCCTGCCTGACCTCAGCCGGCCTGGAGAGGCAGTTATTGAGAGCTCAATGATGAGGACAGAATGACTCTTGAGATTTGTTCGCGTGTTTGCTCAGGAAAAACAATTCAAACGGATTCTACAGCTGAGTGCAGAGATGCCTCTAAGTCGACAAATATCGGACGGACGTCAATTGTTGTCTTTTCCTGTTTATTGCTGTTTATTTTTGTATCTTGTATGAAGTTTGTAAAATTATGAATGAATGAATGAATGAATGAATGAATGAAAAAAATGAACTAGTAAATGAAAGAAAAAATGAACTAATAAATGAATAAATCCACGGATGAATTATTCATTTTTTCATTCATTCATTCATTCATTCATTCATTCATTCATTCATTCATTCGCTTGTTTACCTCTTGCTTTTTAACTTGTACTTGGCGTCAATAAATTAATTGTTTTCTAAATGCCCCCCCCCAAAAAAAAAAGACAAAAAAGGAATC